ACAATGTCAATAGTGCTGAGGCAGAGAAACCCTGCCTTAGGAATATGAACGAGTTACTTCCAGAGAGGTTTCACATGAACAAAATACCAAATGCCAAAGTGGCTCAAACAGCGGTTCTCAACCTGTGGGTCGCGACCTCATTGGCGGTCGAACGGCCCTTTCACAGAGGTCGCCTAAGACCATCCTGCATATCAGATATTTACATGACGATTCATAACAGTAGCAACATTACAGTTATGAAGTAGCAAGGAAAATAATTTTATGGTTGGGTCACAACATGAGGGACTGTATTTAAAGGGCCAGAAGGTTGAGAACCACTGGGCTAAAACAAGGTAACTAAGTATGGTCTGTCTATGGAACTCTAAGCTGGGGCATTCAAAAATGTAATATTTTAAAGGAATGCAAAGAGTTACTTGGTTCTTTGGCATTTAAAGCAAGGGGCCTCTACAAGTCCAGAAAATGCAAGTCTAGGTCTCTAACAGCACATTATCCTGCCTGTAGAAAAGTCATCTTCAGGGGATTTGGCAGTCAGTAGGAATATGGGGAAATCTTAGTGCGCTGACAATAAAAGTAACATGAATATATCAATAACTCTAGGGTAGAATGTGTTTTACAGTAGAAAATCACACCAAATCCTATTTGCACACTGAAATAAACAGCACTGGCTTGTCTTTTCTGTCTACAGGCAACACTGTGAGTCAGAACCGTGAATACTGTCCTCAGGGTAACGCTGTAGCATAAGATTAATAAGTTATTGGTCATTTTTATTGTAATGCCAATGTACCCTTCACATTCCATTTCTGTGCTAGTGTAATAAGATAAGGTTTCTGCATTACTTACTATCAAATGCCCATATAAAATAGCCGGCAAACCAATGCTATAGGACACATTCTTTTCCATATCTCTTCCAAGAATGCATATTATTCAAATAAGATGATCCAAGAGCCTTCTACACAGCATCGTGTGCCCCAGTAAAAAGGCGCAGGGAAGATGAGGTTTTGAATAGAGGGATGGGTAATTCACCTCCCACACTCATATTTGAAAGTAATATTTTTTAAAGTAATATTTTGGATAGATCCAAGCAGATGACAAAACTGACATTTTCTATTGCCCGAACACAAACAGCATAGATTCACCATGGTCAACATTTACAAATGTATGTTTTTCATTGGCTAAAACCCAAGCTAAGTGTGGGAGTATTTATTTGAGCTTCATATTGCTTGTTAATGTGGGGGGTATAAAATTCAGAACATTTAACTCTTCATACAGTTTGTGTAGCTACTAGTGAGAACCCAGGCATGCATTTGCTTATGATACTCAGAAAGCACTATGGCTGAGTATATAGCTACGGGACACCATGGAATCATCAAATACGTACTCTAGCTATGACATGGGGCATCTACAAGAAAAAAAGACAGTGCCATGTCCCACGAAGAAGCTTTCTAATCCCTTGTTAGAATGCCTATTCTCTGTGGTCTTTTGGCCTTAATTCTTTTTCTTTTTGAAAAGAATACAAAAACATAAACAGTGAAAATTAAGTTCCTATCACTCCTATTTCCACTGGCTTTCCCTTGAGAACTGCTCTCACCTTTTCTTGTGTACCCTTTCAGAAATATTTTATACATATAAAAATTAATCTATATCTAAATCTCATACTACTCCATGATTCTATCACAATACCTTTCCATTATATCTTATACTAGAATTGTCTACATGTCCATTGTCCTTGATATGATGCAAAAATTTTATTTTTTCAAACATATATCATCAAAATGATTTTAAATAGAGCAATAGATAGATACTCTAAAGAAAAAGAGTTTGTTGAACTCAATTGAGTCAGCATGAAGTGTTTAGTAATATTAACTGAGTACGAATGAGTTGCAACTGTATCATTGGCTATCATTTGTTCTATGTAAAACGGGACCAGTTTTCATTCCTACGGTAATAAATATTTCTCTCTTTGTTCGGTTACTGTTCTCTGAGGAAGGTTTAACTGCTAGATGGAATGCAGCAAAATGAATAGGGAATAAAATACTTTATTCTGGATTCATGCTAGATTCCTCAATAGACTAACTTATCTAAATCAGATTTTATAACTCTTAAAAGGCGTGCACTAATGTTTACTCAAGGGACAGGACATTAATAATATATTTGTGGTTATTTTGATATCTTACATGCATAGAAATGATTATTCTACTAGTTTCTTTTTTTTGCACATTTTCTAAATAGATAATAAAACCAAGGATGAGCAAAACATTTTTAAAATCATCTATATGAAGTATGAAATGAATAATATTAATTAGCTACTATCTTCTCTTTCTTTTCAATTTTACTATATAACATGATTATCTTCTTGTCACAATGGATAGTCTAAGGCTTCCAAAACTTTATTCTTAATCTAGGATATGAGAAAGTCATGGGCAGTTTGGATGTTTTGAGTGAAACTAGAGGTTGTATTTAAGGAGAATCAGATTAAGGCATTACATGGGGACACAGTGGGTTGGTGTTGGGAAGGGAAATGGTTCTAATGCCAACTTGCTGGAGCCAAACAGATGTCATCAGTTACATTTCTATTTCTGACTTGGCATGCACAATGCTAGGTTAAACAGTCTATAAAGATGAATAAGACATGGGAACTGCCTTCATTAATAGTCCAGTAGGGAAATAAATGCCAGGGTTAATGGATGCATGATAAAAAGACTCAAATGTATCATGGGAACATCAAATATACTGCAATGGTAGCATCCGCATTTACACTAATGATTACATTATACCATTCAGGGTGCCTTTAATCCTTACCAAGTCTTAGGAAAAGGTACTGTTACTATTGTCTCCTCCTTCACAGAAGAGGAAGACAAACAACTTGCCCACTTCTGGTGAATGACAGCCTTTGGATGCGTACTTGGGCAGGCTGGTTCTGGAGTCTGCACACTTAACCACTGCTTATACTGCTTCTCTTATGACTAATTGTGTAACAAGCTTTGCCAGGTATGAAGTGATGTTGTTCTTTAAATGAGAGCTGTATACATAGAAAGAGAGAAAGAAAGAAAAAAGGAAAAGAAGGGAGGGAGTGAAGAAGAAAGGGAGGGAGAGAGGGAGGGGGAGGAGGAGGGAGAGGAGGAGGGAGAGAGGAAAGAGAGAGAGAGGTAGATATTGAGAGAGAGAGAGATTATCATGCCTGAGACCCAGGCAGACAGACTCCCATGAACAACAAGACACGGAGAAGTAAAATTGTGTGAGATATTCTGAGAATCACAGAAGGTCCAGTTCAGTTTCAGAACCAAACCATGTAGTTCTTTTCGTGCCATTCTTGGAAGCTCTAATTTTGTCCTGCACATAGTAAAGTCCACCAAATACTTCAAATCTGGCAGGTAGATGACTCCTAAGATCATATTTTGCTTTTGAACAATTATTGAAAAAACAATGGGAAATGGTTTGGAGGAGAGTTATAGTAGAGGTAGGTAAAAGTTTAGCATAGGTAGAGAATGGTGAATGAATGAACTCAACAAGTAGCAGGTGAACGGGCTGAGTGATGAAGCTATAGTTCAAAGATATATCGAATAAAACGACCAATTTGATCATGAAGAATTTTGGAGAAGAGAAAAAAAACAGAGAACTGGAGTTAACAGTCTAAATTACTTTAGAGTGAATTAAAAAAAGAAACAATTTGATACTTATTTTTCATTTGCATTAGTTTGGTTTATATTATGACGAGTTGATAAGGGTAATGACCTATTTGGGACATATAAAGATATCCAGTAGCTACACCTAATAAGCTGTTAGAAACAGGTTATAAAGTTGTGCATCTGGTTATGAACTTGAAGACCAGACCTGGGAGTCTTCAGTTCCTAAGAGCGAGAGCAGTGGATGAGATCACCAGAGAGAAGACAATGAAAAAAGACTAAGCTCTGAGAAAGATGAGCAAAAGTGGGCAGAAGAGGTGTAATAAGAAGATACTGAATGATCACCAAGAGTTGGAAGCAAAGAGGATCAGCAAAGGAAGGAGTTGTGGGATCCAAATGAGAAATCTCAGGAAGGTATAAATGGGTTAAAAATATGCCAAATGAGTCAAGATTTCAAATAAAAGGCTCAAAAAGTTACAGTTGCAAATGGAAAATTCAGAGATCATTGAGGGCATCAGCAAGGGAAACTCCAGTAAAGTTTGAGACCAGACTTCATACTTTAATGGGATTAATTAGAGAAGAAGACAGCATGTATAGAAGACTGAAATTGTAGACCTGTGAAAAGAAGGGAGAGATGTGAGTATATCTGTAGGCTGAAAGGAATGGTCAGTGCACATTGTACAGGAAGGTATTGAAGGTGGGGATGGATTGATGGACATACGTTCTGTATCAGAAGAGAGTAGATGAAATCAATGGGTATCCTCAACATCTTAAATAAAATTGGTTTCATGAGGGAAATATTCATTATTGTAGTATCGAATATGTGGCAAAAAGAGAGTGAACCATTTTGTAATTGTTGAAATAGTTCAAAGAATCCAACACTGAACTGTTAATAGAAGACACAGATAAAGACACATCGCATAGCGGTGATCTAAGATAAAGAGATATATCTCAGTCTATGGCAACAGGGCACAGAGGTGGTGACCTGCAGGAGAAGGGAGAAATGTTCCCTGTCTACCAGGCAGTCCTCACTGCCTCAAACATGGCACCGCCCAGAGTTCACCTTTGGCTGCTCAGACTGGGAGCTGAAACTTCACTCTTTCCCCTTTCGGTTTGTAATAAGTAAGGACAGTTCCAGAGAGAACACAGAGAGTTTAATATGGGCAGAGGCACTGGGAGACGGGGTGACATGGGAGAGGCTCTGAAGTCAGTCCCTCATGGGCACAGAAAAAAATACAGTGGTGAGAAATGTTTGGTTTATCATTTTGGTTTAGAGATTTAAAACAAAAAACAGATTTGAACATTTTTTCTTCAGTACTGATTTCAGAGCTCAGAGACATCTTAGCAATTAGAGTAGAGAAAATGTGGGCTACTTACCCATTTTGTATGGCAGCTGTGGGGTCATAGGTCAGAGCCATGCCAGCCTGCATAGAAGAGGGAGAGGAGAGAAAACAGATCTTAACATTTTTATTGTGGTGGCCCAAACTTTCACTGCACACAAAGACTTTTATCTTTCCTTTCCTTGATTTAAGTTTATTTTCTCCTACATATTTCTCCATTGACAAGACAAGCATTTTTACTATCCATACACCGGAATCCACCAGTGAGTTGGGGAGTTTATATTATACATCCAGACAAACCAAGGCACAATGCAGCTTGGAGGACTTCCATTTCTACTTCATAAACCATCAATTTCTCACTATTGTCAAAACCACCTATTGTATATACATCTCATGGCGCAAGAAAAAAAAAAAAAAAAAAAAAAGTAAGGCTGAATCCTGCGGTGAGAAAATAAAAGCTCCTTAAAATGCATTGGACCTTTTAGAAGAAAATGTTAAGAAATATTTATTTTAAAATAGATCGCATGCCTCAGGGGTATGTAGGTAATGAGTCAGGGAGTGCTTGTCCAACACACTGCTAGTACCTGTCCTACTAAGAGTGGTAGGAAAGGAAGGTCATTTACACTTGATGGAAATTCTTGGCCTGGTGGCTAATAAGGAAGTGGTTTTATTCTGTTTCTAAGTAGAAAACTACCTCTGAAAAACTACACTTTGGTAACTGGCAATATTTTGAGAAAAGAATAGAAACTTTCATGATTGCTGATGCACAGCTTACCTCATCCCTTCCTACACATCATCACACTTGATCCTCACAAAACCCTATGAAGTAGGCAGGAGAATATTTTCTCCATTTTATTATATTTGAAAACCCTGAAGCTTGGAGAGGTCAAATGACTTGCTCAAGGTCACATGTTTGGTGGCAGAACCTGATTCCAGCCAAAGCCTTCAGATGTGGGCTCTGCTGTAATCTTGACCTAGGAATTGAATGAGAGTTGAGGATCACCTCTAAAGATGTGGGGGGACTTTCTCTGTGGTCCTATGAGCAGACCACCCTTTGTTTTCCAGGATTGCCAACCTGGTTATCACTTAGTGTGAGCAGAAAGAGAATATAGAATGAAATTTAAAAATAATTAGGTTGTCTTTAGGGTGTATTGTTTTTTTCCTCTTTTGAAATTTAAAAGTGAATTAGACCAATGTCAATTCCCTGGCTTTGTTAGATCCCTATAATTATGAAAGATGTAACCATTGGGTGAAATGAGGTGAGGACTATACAAAACCTCCCTTCTCATTTCTTTTGTAATTTCTGTTAATCTATAACTATTTCAAAATTAAAAGACAAAAAATGCAAATGATTGTTGAGGACTTTTTTTTAGAGAATAAGAAAAATCATTAAAACTTTAAAGAAAAGAAAAAACAGCTTTTGTTTTTGAGTTTCTTCCAGTTGGATGAAGGTGGTTTTCCTGTTAGGCTTGCTGAATTCCTCAGATTTAACACCTAACTGAAACATAAATCCTCTGGCTTTCTAGGGCAGGACCTGAAGTCCAGTATGACATGCTACAGTCAAGCTTAGATTATATGCATTATTTTTCCTAAATAATAAGTTTTAAATTATTACTAAGATTGGTATGAGGAACAAACCTGTAGAGCCAAATATGAATGGGATTAGCATACAGCAAGCATGCATAAATTCAAATGGAGATTGCAAACCACACTGAATGACTCAGGAGTTAATAGAGGAGCACTGAGAACACATGTTTAATGATAACTGTATCTTAGGTTAAAGAAATAGACAACAGATAATATGACAAGTAGAGGGGAATGGCAAATGAGATAAGAATAAAAGAGCAGAAACAAAGGCAAATTTTTATTTATTTATTTATTTTTGCCTCTGGTGCAAAACACATAGAGATCCAAAGTTTAAATTCTTTCCAGGGGTGGGGCCTCTGCCCTGTGACTGGCAAGAGGAAGGTCCTCGCTTAAAGACTTCCCAGAATAGAGAGGTCTAGGTGAGCTGAAACTCCCTGGTCCCGGGTGCTATTGAGGATAGTTTAAAAGCAGTCCATTTGGGATGAGACTTCTCTCTTGAAAGCACTAAGCTTCTTTCCCCTAACTTACCCAAGATGCCACACCAGGGCAGAATGACAAAAATAGACTTCATACTCAATAGAGATATTGTCAGTTAATCTTAATCTCACGAGAGATTAAGAGTGATTAGGAGAGCTTCAGTCTCCTAACCACCCCAAATGGTTAAAATCCTAGCGGACTTATCAGAAGCCTTTCCTAGTCAACCCTACATTTACTTCTTTTTCTTGTACTTATTTCCCAGTAGTGCTCAAATCCAATGCTATCTAGCCTTTCTTGAATTACAAATTTTCTTGAACATTGTCTTCTTATGCTTTGTTTATTTTGGCAACTCTAGGTACGGATTTTTTATTTTCTTTCATATTTTAATTGAATTCCTCATGGACTGTCATTAACCAATCAGTTCTACCTAGGAATACAGTACTTACTAATACATTCTATTTGTTGAATACATATTTGACCATTAGAAAGGCTAAGTTGGCCTCTTCCTCCAGTTTACAACTCCATCCATCTTTCAAAAGATGGGAAAGATCTAAAAAATGGCAACATGGTTCAGTGGGAAGAATGTATGTTTTGGATCTGGGTTTAGGTCTTTGCTCTGTTACTTTCTAGCAATGTGGCCTTGGGCAAATTATTTAACCTACTTGAGCCTCAGTTTCTTTAGCTGTTAAATGGTAGAGTAACACCTACCTCATGAGATTGTTGTGAAATTTAAATGAGATTATGTTTATAAAAGACCCAGCACAGTGCCTGGAGTAAGACATACACATAAATATTATAATACAAAGGTAGAAGTGTTAAGTGTCATATGAGTGGTACAGATGAGGTGTGGAGGAGAGAGGCTGGGGGTGATTAGGGAAGATAGTTGGAGGAGGTACAGCTGAGTGGAGCCTTGAAAGATGATTCGGATTTCCACGAATGGAGATCAGTGGTGAAGGCCTGCTCAAGCAAAAGGAATTGAATGGAAAACAGTGTGTAAATAAAAAGGGCAGTAGAACACTGGAGGGGAGCTGTGGGAAATAAGACTCCAATGGAAAAGAGGGACCATCTTGACTGCCTGGCTCCTCTTGGGGAGCCACTGAACATTTTTGAGCAAGAAAATTATACAATCAAAGAGGGACTGGACAATAAGAAACGGTATGAGCCTCTGGGAAAACAGGGTAAATCCAAAGCAATGAGCAATGGGAATAGGCACTTGGGGACGGGAAGTAGAAAGAATCTAAGGTGAGACTGTCACTGCAAAAGGATAGGGAATAAAAACAAGTTTCACCTACTTCATGATTTTGCCTAGGGACAGTCCTGCCTCTCAGTACCTTTGGCAAGAGGAGACAACAAGAGAGAGCGTCAAGTCATATGCATTTGGAACATTCTGGGTAACAAAACAAGGCATGGGTTCAACAGAAGGTTGTTTGACCTTCACCTGTTGGCTGAACATCATAACACAATAACGAACACCTGACCTGGTTTTCATTTCATGTGTAATAAATGGCTGAATTATAATTCTAGGATGGTCTTAATGCAGATTTTGCATGCAATTTCCTTTTGTTTCCTTCCATTAAGGTAAAAAGGAAAATCAATTTTGCTGCTCTGTCTAGCTACCTTTATACTAAGCTGGAACCATGAAATCATCATTATGTAATTACCAAATTTTATGGCATGTTTACAAACTCTGGAGTAACACAAAAATAAAATAACTTGGAACAAAATGAAAATGTCACACCACATATGCAGAAAACTGATATTTAATCATGTCAATCTTCTTTTTTTTTTTTAAAGGCTTTTAGATTAACAAATAACTTTCATTTCTCAAGTTCACATTTTTGTGTGCTAGAGGCGATTATAATTTATTTAAAACAAAAAGGGGCATTTTTGTCATTTTTCAGCAGCAGATGAATTTTGGCTTAGTATTTTGACTATAATAGAATATGTCTGGTCCTTCCTTATAGAGTCCATACTAAAGAGCTAAATATTTTGGAAGAAATATAAAAATATGGCTTATTGGAGAAATTAGGGTTTCATAATCATTTTTAGTATTATAGGAAATTCACTAAGACACATTAGGTTGACTTTGGAGCTAAATATTTATATTCATAACTTTAAATGATTAACAGGTTAAATGAAAGGTAAAAAATATAGAAATGCTGCTTAAATATACATATTAGGAAACAGGTATTAGCACTTTGAAAAACTCTTCTGAGATGCTTGGCCTCATTGGAGAAGCAGAGGAACATGGACTCTAACAAAGCCAATGAAAAGGTAGGCTGGCAGAATTGTTTTGATCACTTTTCAAATTATTTTTATACTGTAATGTGAACGGGGATCAAAAAGTTTGAGGCAGTAAACTTCATACAGACAGATACGCACTGAAATTCCTGGAAACTGAAACATTAATGTTTTAGCCTAACATTTCTCCTTTTTCTAAATTCTGCCCTGACACATGAGTCATCAAAATTGGATGAGTTACCGATGAATAATCCCAAGGATTTCCAATCTTCTGTGATCAGCTTTAAAGCAACACTTTAGTAAATATGTGGTAAATATTTAGTAAATACTGGTACCAAATTACCACAAGATGAGTTCAGGAAGGCAAAGAAGAAATTTTCTTGATGTCATCTCTAAGGAGTTTATTTCTTGAAACCAATTTTAACAATATTTCCAACTGTTGGTTGGTGTAGGTCAAATCACTAAATAAAATAAGATGACTTACCAGTAAAAGATGATGTGTTTAAAAGGGACTTGAAAATGTGTTATACATGTTTAGGTACTGCTTCTATAGCAAAGTCTCACTTAACTTGGTTTAATTTATTTATCAGTATTTCTCTTTAGAAAACATACCTTTTAGTGAAGAAGTCATGATACAAAATTATATGTACATATATGTCAACAAATAAAATTTAAAAAATTTAATCTTTGACTAGAAATAAAACAATTTTAACAGGGGTAAATGTGAAAATATTGAGTCATATGACCATAAATGATAGTATTTCCTTTCATATATTTTTTTTCTGACTCTTTTAAGTTGTATATAATGAAAATTACTTTTATAATGGCAAAAAAACTCCTTTTCTTATAAAACAACAACACATTATGTACTTCACAACTTATTTAAAATTTAAATTTAGGTAGGGGAAAAAAGGTATGTCATTTGTAAAAGAACTATTGAGTAGAGGCCTGATTCAGAAATATGCTTGGAGATGTCAGGAGATGTATAGTTTTGCTGGGTCAATGAAATACAGAAGAGCTGGGGTGGGTGGGGTTACTACATCCAGAAGGATCAAGGTAAGAATGGGCAGGAGGCCAAGAATAAAGACTGACACTTCAGGGTTCATGGTACAGTGTTTCTTTTTTAGTGGAAGCTAGACAGAATTCATAAATCCAAATAGCCATATGGGCTGAGAAATGGAGGGTTTCCTATGTGACACCAGAAGTGTGGGTACCCAAGATAGTCATCAATCAATAAATATCACCAGAAAACCACAACCTCATGGATGCCAAGTAAATCTTTTGGCCAAAGAAAAAGGGCTTTTAACCTACTTCCTGTTAAGAGAACTAATCCTCCGAAATAATACACAAGGGGCCAAGTTGAGGACAGGCTATTGGAGCCCTTACAGAAAGGGGAGGAGAAAGAATGAAATCATGGCCTTCTCATGAGGCAAATGGTAGGGTTTTACCCGGGAATGGTTCTGCCATGGCCAGGTGACTATTGAATGCTTTCTTTCTCTGGGCAGGGGCAGTCAACCATGTAGGTGTCTGCTCTCACCTGCCAAAAGAACATCCCCTGGGCAATGTGTAACTACTGCCTCTCTGAAGAGAAGATAAGGGACAAATGACAGTAAACAAAGAAATTGCCAAAGCCTACAAAAGATAGACTACACTGCATGGTCCTGAGATAAGACAGCAACATCCAAGCTAACTGTCCATTAGGGAAGAGTTTAGACAAAGATCTTATATGCATGTATGCATTACCTATGGACACAGACAATAGGGTGGCAAGGGCCTGGGGTAGGATGGGAACCGGGTGGAGGGGAGCTATGGGGGGGGGGGGGGAAGGGACATCTATAATAATCTCAACAATAAAGATTTAAAAAAAAGACAATGCCCACCAACCTGTGGCTCTCACTACACTCCCTAATTTTCATAACATATGAATTCAAGGAATAGTTTTACTCCAAATTATACTTGATTAATTTGCATAATTTAATCAGTGATATTTTTCTTTTCTTTCAAAACTCCTTTCCTTTGGGTTCTGTGAGCTTGTCCCCTAGTTTTCTTCTGATCGCTCAGAGAGCAATTTCTGCTTTGGTGTTACATGTTCCATCTGCCTTTGGGATGCCAGCACTCAGGGCCAGGGTTCACCCTCCTCCTCTCTCCTTCCATACAGAGATGACATTCACCTTCTGATTCCAACTATTATTTATGTCTGGGTGATTCTTGAATCTTGATCTCAAACTCAAGTATCTAGCCTGAATTCCAGACATTTATTGCCAAGTTAGATTAGTAAGTTTGAAGTATGGTCAACGTCTCCTATGAAGTTATCATTTCTTATTTGGGTGTTTACTAATATCCTTTGGTCATAAATAGCTTCTCCTACTTTTGCTTGCAATATTTTTCTAATCCATCAGCCACACCATTGCGCTTGAAGACTGCTCTTGCGAGAGGCAAGTCTGACCACATAATGATTCTTCTTTTAGTGACACAGTGTTATTTTCTAAATAAAACATGGCTCACAGAGCCCCTCATGATCAAGTCTTTATTCACAGACTGACGTCCATAATCATGCTGTGCAATTTTAGACCCTGTTCTTCACCAAACTCAGACATACACTCACCCTACCCTGAACCTCTGGACCTCTGCTGCTGTAGTTTTTGGCTGGAAACTTTGCATCACTGTCTGTGGGAAAAATGAAAATTCTAGTCTTTCAGCCTCAAACCAGACATCGCAGACTCTTAAAGCCATCTCTGTCTCTCCTTGTGGCATTAACTGCTGCCTTTGTTCTGTCCCCATGATTGAAGATGGGCACTAATATGACTACACGTTGTCATGTATGTTTCAACTAGATTCTTGCCTGTGTCCATAAGTGTTTGGAACATAATAGGGACTCAATAAATGTTTATTAAATAAGCTAATAAATACCTAATTGACCTAAAGACTATTTTGAATTTGGACTTCAGTTAAATGGGTATTTGAAAAAGGAATTTGAGTGTTTTTAAGTTTCCCTTATTTTATTAGTAAACTTTACTCTTTAAAACTTCCACTGAACCCAAACTTCTAAAGAAAATGTTTTAGCCTTTGATTGGTCAGTAGAGACAGAGGGAAACAAGATGAGTGCTGGAAATGCTCAGAGACCTTTCCATGCAGCAGGGAAGCCAGTGTACTGAGACAGATCATGAGTAGGAGCCTAGCAGAAGGAGGCCCCTCTTCTCCAAGTTACTGACCAGGAGTGGGGAGAAGAGGACTGTTAATTAAAAGACATCTTGACATCTTCAAGCAAATGAGATGCAAAGGATTGATCACTTTAAAAAATAGCCAAAAAAAGGTCAATAAACAGAGAAAATTTCACCTCTTTATGTTTGGGAAAGAAAAACATCGAGGAGAGTCATGCTGTTGTTTATACACTATGCGTCATGGAATTTCCCTTTTCTGGCTTTTACTAAAAGCATTCTTGTCAGATAGAGAACTTCTCTCTTATATAGCAACAGAGAAGAACAAGAGAGAAAGATGCAGACAGAATGAAGACTGGATGGCTGAGAAAGCCTAAGGCTGCACAGAAAAAGCATTGTTAAAAAGGAAGCAGAAGAAAAAGTATACTAGCATTATATGATGTAGCCTGCTAAGATTCTCAAAGTCTTAAGGGAAAAAGAAGTCCTAGTTTGTCATTAAAACTGAAATTAAATTAAGCCTTGATTGATAACCATAAAAGAAAATAAGAGAACATTACTATATTTTATATATGAACTCCAGCTTTTATCTTAGTCTAAACAACTAAAACTGATCGATGCTAAGACATCACTTTTATTTCACATATTAATATCTGTGAAATTGGTACTGACATAGTTGATGGCATTTGATAGCTTGGCAATTGTCTCTTCTTTTTTAGTGACACTTAAAATAATATTTCATCTTTAATTGATGGTGTCTTGGAACCAATAATAGGATGTCTACAGGGTGAAAAATATAAAATGCTGATATTGCTAACAGGGCAATCCTGTGCATCTAGATAGGTGAAAGTCCTGGGTATCTGGTTAAGTGGTCCATATTCATCCAGGTCCCAACTACAGTTTGATGTTACTTGGAGGTTGGAGCTATGGCTTAA